TAAGGTGACGTCCTAGATATATATCAAGTTACTCCGTACAAGTAGTTCATTAAATTATGCGCCGATAAATGTCCCAATACTATAGTAAAAGCCATGACCAGATCAATCTGAGATAAAAAAACAAGGAGAAGTGTTCCTAAGGTGACGTCTTAGATATATATATCAAGTTGCTCCGTACAAGTAGTTCATTAAATTATGCGCCGATAAATGTCCCAGTACCATAGTAAAAGCCATGACCAGATCAATCTGAGATAGAAAAGCTCAATATCCTTGATCCAAATCTCACAAAACCTACCAGTCTACCATAAACTGTTTGTGTTTTTCACAAAAATACCATAAATTATCTCTATTATATAAATAACCACAAACGTTTTTCAATAAAAAAACATGACTGACAGACATTTAACTTAACTCAATATGCAATACACATGGAATATTTTGGATAGTTTTGCTGTTATTTACCTTATTATGTAGTTATTCTCTCACCCTCTCCTCACTATAAAACAAAACAAAATTTCATGAAATTTCATTCTAAACATTGATTTTGGTGAGCATTAAAGTTTAGTCTATTCTTCATTAGATCCTGTTGACGACTGTGGCTAAATCTGGAATAAAACAGATATAAAACAGAGAAAACTAAAAGAAACCTGAAGTGCTGTATTTTAAAACCTTTTCAAGTTAGCTGTTGTGCGTTTGTGAAATGCTGTGCTTAAAGCAATATTTGGCCTACTCCGATGCAAGGATCCCAATGCCAAACTGCTTTCAGGAACAGTAGTACAGTACAATGATGTGCACCAACCAAGTACTGTCAAGATCTCCTCGATCTGTAAGACATTTCGGTCAAAACAACGATCTCCTTGATCTGTTAAAAGCTTCCGGTTCAAAAACCTTTTAGTTAAAACCTTTCAGTGCAGGCAAAGATCTTTCGATTTGTTAAAAACATTTTGGTTCAGGGCTATGTTCCTTCGGGCACATGCTAAATCTTGCACGCTTTTAAAACTCTACAAAAAAACAGCTCAACAGATTCAATCTGTCCAAGTTTTACAATACTTCAGTGTGTTTTCCCATATCAAGAGCTACTCCAAGGGGAGCCCTTCGTGAACGCGAGGCTGGCACCCTCGCGCGAACACGAGGGTCACCCGCGAACGCAAAGTTCCTCGTACGCTGCGAAAGCGAGGCTCGTCCGCATGCTGCAAAGCAATGCGAAGCAGCCTGCATGGCAGCTAACGTGGCGCCACTAGTCCCGATGCTTCCGTGCGAAGTGCAAAGTACGCCTTACCAAGCGTAACTTAGCGCCTCAGCCCGATTAACCCCAATCCCCGGTTGACCCACGGCCCACGGTTCACGGCCCACGGCACACCAGTACTTATGAGGGATTAATAGATTTATTTAAGACAAAACAATTCTCGGCTTGCATACGGCAAGCCGAACTGATGATCTTTTAAAACATCAAAACTTTTATTTTCCACTGTATTATTAAGGATTTCTGAAAAATACCACTAGTTAGTAAATATATAGTTTGAAAACTCATTTTGGAAAGCGGTTTTAACCAATAACTCCGACAGATCCAGCATCTCATTTTTTAGTTTTTTCCAAAATGAGCAAACTTCTATTAATTAATTCACAACTAAAGAGAATAATACTCATAATTATGTATATTCTCTCTTTTTTCGGTGAATATATAAGACTCAGATTCCACCTTGACACGCTCAGAAATTCTATGTCGCCATCACATTTGATGACTCATATCAAGTTTTATTATGTGCATTGTTTTTCTTTGCGTTTGGTAAACAAAACATTTACTAGATTAGAAAATGGATATAGTTAGGAGTTGAAATTTATGTTTTTGTGCTGGTGGGCAGTTACAACTTGTAGCGTCCCTCTATAAATAATACTACACAATTGAGGAATACATACATAAATTAAGAAGAAAGGAAAGAGAAAAAATGGAGCATTATTTTCTTTGCGTTGTAGCTTTTGGAGTGCTAATCTCTGCTGGCTTCCTTGTTCCTCCAGGTAATTTAGTAAATACTATTCCTTTGTACGCTTCGTTCTTAAGGTGAATGCATCCAAATTGAGCTATGTTAGTATAGATTCTTCTGTTTAAACGTTTTCTTAATATTTATGGAAAACACTGAAAATTGTGGGGGAAAAAAGAACTCATGATTTTGACATGTTGTAATCATAGCGCTTGAATGTTGAAGGGACGATTTGGGATGAAAATAGAAAGAAGGGGAAAGAAAATAACAAATTGATGGTTTAATGTGGGATGAATAATGTTGCATTAAAAAAAAGAGAGTTTTTTTTTTTTTTTTTTTTTTTTTTTTTTTTTTTTTGCATCAGGACTTGTTTCTATGGAACAGATATCTGGTTAAGTTTTTTTTTTCCAAACCCATGAAGTAAAATGAACTAATGATGTTGGCATGCTGTGATCTAGTGCAATTTTTGATGTTTAATGAGGGGAGAAAAAGAAAAAGATTGATGGGTAATGTGAGATGAATAATTTAGAATAAAAAAAATAAAATTTCCATCAAGAGCTGTTTACTACGGTACAGATATCAGTGGTCATGTCCTTTTTGTGAATGCTCCTGCCAAGTGTGGGTATCATAATCAAAACTGTATATCAACTTTTTCTAAATAAAAAACAGAAAAAGAAAAAAAAAATTGTGAAAGTGATATAGTTGGCCTTTTATTGACCAATTAAATGTTGATAAAGTTGGTTACATAATGGGTGAGCAAACTTAGGAGTAGTGACTTTAGTGGCTCAGAATTTTTTGGCGGGCACAATTGTAACTGCTTCCACATGTAAAGATTATCACAACAGCCCACGTAAAGATAACCAGATGATAACTTGGTCCTCATTTTACCTTTTTTTTTTTGCCCTTATTTTATTTATTTTGTAGATGAAATCGGGAAAAAAAAATCACATAGGGAGGTAAGAGATTGTGACACATTCCTCAACATAAATCTCTTAAGATATTTTTATTATAAGTTATTTCAAGATTAGCCCGTCAACAAACCATCGAACATTGCTGTGAGGTCCCCCAATTGTTATAAGTTGTTTCAAATAACCCCTCCAATCAAGAGCAGAAGTAGCAAGATATAAGAAATGGGCAATACCATTTCTTACAATCCGCCATTTTTCATAATCGTTTACCATACCATTTTCTTCTATGATCCAAACATTATTTTTTTAACGAACTATTTCTAACTTTTTTTTCCCCACAGAAACTGAAGCAATTGGCATCAACTACGGCTTACTGGGCAACAACCTCCCACCACCAGACAAAGTAATATCCCTCTACAAATCAAGAAACATCACCAGCCTCCGCCTGTTCAACCCAAACTCCACGATCATCACTTCCCTCCAAAACTCGAACATGGATGTAATCCTCGGTACTTACAACCAGGATCTCCAAAATCTTGCAAAAAACCCCTCGTTCGCATCTCAATGGGTCAATACCAATATACTCCCATACACAAAGTCTGTCAACTTTAAGTACGTTTCTGCTGGCAATGAGGTGATACCTGGAGATTTGGAAGATTTCGTGCTTCCGGCGATGAAGAATCTTGATGCTGCACTACAAAATGCGGGATTGGAGATTCCGGTGACCACTGCAGTGTCGACTCAGGTGCTTAATGTTTCTTACCCCCCGTCTAAAGGGGAGTTTAGGGATATTATGACGCCTCTGGTTGCGTTTCTGGAAGCTAAAAAGAGTCCATTGCTCGTCAATGTTTATCCTTATTTCGCATATTCAGGTGAAGTAACATGCTCTTAGATTTCCAGGTTTTGAATGTGCATGGTTGGGTTTCAGTAAATATACATTTATAGGATTGAATTAATCATCTTGGGTGAATTATGAATCATACGCATGTTTGATACAGAAATCTTGTTGGATTGCTGATAGTAGATGCTGACAACCTGATAGCAGTTTCCTTTTTCTGCTCAGCTTAGCAGACAAAGAGTTTCCAGGTTTTCAGAATTCTGCATGCTTGCATTTCAGAAATAAAGATACTTACATATAAATGAATTAGTCATCATGGGCTTATCCATAGATGCTGATAAAATTTTAAGCTTATCCAATCTTGATTTTGTGTTCTTGTTAGATTTCTGCTAGTGAAATGCTATATGCTACTGAGAGTGCATTGCTTGCAAACTGCCAACTCTCTTTGACCTGACAGAGAGTTCACAGGTTTTCAGAATTTTATATGGTTATATCAGAGTAAAGATACATACATATGACTGAATTAATCATCCTGGGCTTATAATTCCATTGACACTGATAAAATATTTCTCATATTAGCAATTTCTCTTAATGTTTGGTAGTCAAGGAGCAATATTGTGCATGACATAATTATGATGACTACGTATACATTGTTTCTTCATTAACCAGCTCTTTTCAACAGGCGACCCACAAAATGTGCAACTCGACTATGCGCTCTTCACAGCAAACACTACCGTAGTGCATGATGGTCCACTTGGGTACTCAAACCTATTCGATGCAATCCTAGATGCGACATATACAGCATTAGAGAAGGTCGGAGGATCAAATGTAGACATCGTCGTGTCAGAGACTGGATGGCCATCAGGAGGCAACGGGCTAGGAGCCACAATAGAGAATGCAAAGATCTATAACAACAATGTTGTGGCTCATATTGAGAAGAATGCCGGAACTCCTAAGAAACCTGGAAAGAAAATCGAGACGTATTTGTTTGCTATGTTCAATGAGAACGAGAAGCCAGCGGGGACTGAGCAGAACTTTGGATTGTATCATCCTGATATGACTGAAGTGTATCATGTTGATTTTAGTTCTTAGGGACATATGTGTGTATTGCTTGTTGATATTCTTTATTAGAGACTGTTATTTCATTGCTTAGTATTTAGATTATGCTATTATTACTATTTTCTGAAAAAGGCTCTGTTATTGTTTTTCGGTTATACATAATCTATTGATCAAGGGGTAAATTTCATCACAAGTTAAATTTTCAAAAACTAATTCATTTGTGTGAGGATAAA